ATGACCAAGCAGCTTTCAAAGAAGGCACTCTTGATACTGTCTCCTAGAACTTCAAGGATATGTTTCTGAAGACTGTAAATATACATAAAAGTATTAGTGCATCCTTTAAATGTTTTTCCAATGCCAACATGCAAGGAATTCTTGTACTATAACAGCCACATGGCCTTGTTAAGTTTTGTGTTTTCTCGGCAAGCCAAAAATAAGAACTCATATGCCCATGGAATTCTTATGGAATACTTTACACAAATATGTATTATTAAACAATAACACAATACTGACATGTTGTATGTGTGCAAAAAACTCAAGGTGCAAATCCTTTGTGTAATAGAAAACGTATTTCTAAAGTCTCAGATTTGTAATTCCAAGGCTTTATGCTCCTGTTGTTTACACGCCAAACCTATGTTTTTCTATGTTAGCTATCAGTGATTATACCTACATCACATACTGGAACAGGACTCACTTTATTATATATATTATGAATAATGACAATGAAAAAGTCAATCTTAAAATATATAGCAATACTGACTTCTGGTTTCCAGGCTGGCATGTAGAGCTTGACAAGTTTCACTCCCTTCCACACCCAGGGAAAAAGTTGAAAAAACTAGAAACAAACAACTCTTCTTAGATCCATCAGAGAACTAAGATCACAGAGAGAACTGCTGCCTCCAAAACCAGATAGAAAGACACAGAAACCCATGATGAGGAACTTCCAGGTATTCAGGACCAGAGTAGGAAAGTCTAAACTATAAGTGATGAATTACTAGAAGAGGAACGTACACGAGTGTGAGAGTGAAGAACTTCAGGGGGCCCAGTCTTAGTTTCACCTCCAGGAAGTCTACTATATACTCAAAGTGAAGATCAAAGAAACATTTCCTTGTGCTTGAGCAGAGAAAGTAGTTATTTTTAAGTAAGGCAGGGCATTTTGTTCTTAACAAACGCTACCCTTACGACAAACTCTTGTACCTGAGCTAAGGGACTGAGATTTTACCATCTACTAACTTGGAACTCCAAGGAAGGGAAATATCTGATCGCAGGCAGTCTAACTTTCTATGCAAAGAAAGAGAAATACGCAATTCCAGCGCCTTCTATAGGCCTTTGCTTCAACCAAGGAGCTCAAAACAAAACTAAGAAGAACTTACAGGTTACAGCCCAGGAGCAAAGGCTCACTAAAAACCTGAAACAACCATAGCAGCACACAATCCCGCACCTCACACCTTACCAACAACGTCAATAAGGGGCTTCTATGTAACAGGAGAATACAACTGAAATAAGTAGACGTCTCAGGCCTTATTTAAGAAGTCTCCAAGTAAACAAAGAGAAAACATGGCACAAAAACCAAAACACCAGAGGAAACTTTATCCTGACACCTACAGCTACAATAAACATGTACTAACACTGAGACAAATGTAAGATGGCCTGCTCACCTCAGTTCCTTTACTCATCATTACTATATCTGACCCTCAACAAAATATTACAAGGCATACAAAACAATATGGTAACTGAATTCAAAAATTCCATAATTTTTTAAAACTGATAAAAATGTAATCCTTGATAGTATCACTGATACAAGTTATATACAATAACTTAAATGTATAGGTAAACACACATTCACTAAAATATATATTCATATTATGCTTACATTAGAACCTTAAGGTCAGGAGAAGCAATGATGTTCACATATCACTGGTACTATTCAACATTATACTGGAGGTCTTAGTTAATGCAGTAAGATAACAACAGGACCAAAGATTTATTTATCAGAAAAAGACTAAAAAAAACTGTAACCATATAAAGATATTTTGAAAATATAAAGTGTTCAGTAAGTTGTCTGGTTAAAAGATCAGTGGATAAAAATTATTTATTTACTGTATACTAGTAAAATTCTATTAGGAAATATAATAGAAAAACAATTTGACTCACAACGGTATTAAAAAACCCTAAAATATTTAGAACAAACCTAACAAGAAATATGCAAAATGGTGAAATGATGAAAGATGAAATTTTAAAGCTTACTAAAAGAATATTAAAAGGTCTATGTAAATGAAAACGTTATGTTTCTCAAAGGGATTGTCTAGAATTTTGAAGACATCAATTCTCACCCAATTATATTCTACACATAATGCAATCCTAAAGTAAACACCTATCAGATTAAAAATATGCATTACAGGGGCAGCTAGATGGCTCAGTCGATTGAGTGTCTGACTCCAGCTCATGTCATGATCTCATGGTCTAGGAGTTCGAGTCCTGCGTCAGGCTCTATGCTGACAGCTCCGAGCCTGGAGCCTGCTTCAGAATCTGTGTCTCACTCTCTCTCTGCTCCTCCCTCACCCATGCTCTGTCTCCCTCTGTCAAAAATAAATAAACGCTAAAAAAAAAAATTAAGGGGCCCCCGGTGGCTCAGTTGGTTAAGCTTCTGACTTCAGCTCAGGTCATGATCTCACAGTTTTTGAGTTTGAACCCTGTATCCGGATTGCTCTGTGTTGACAGTTCAGAGCCTGAGGACTGTTTCAGATTCTGTGTCTCCCTCTCATTCTCTCCTCCTCCCCAGCCCACAGTGTCTCTCTCTCTCTCAAAAATAAAAAAAAAAAAAAAAGCCTTCAAATATTTTAACTTAAAAAAATATGCATTATGAAATACTTTATATAAAGAAAAACCTAATAAGGAATCATATAAAAACAAGCCACTTCACAAAATATTACCAATAAAGATGAAAAAGAAAATCTATGGAATAGACTTCCTCTATGATACAGCAAAAATTTACTTAATAACTAGAGCAATTAAAACAGTATGGTAGTGGGGCGCCTGGGTGGCTCAGTCAGTGGAGTGTCCGACTTTGGCTCAGGTCATGATCTCATGGTTCGTGGGTTCGAGCCCCTTGTAGGGCTCTGTGCTGACAGCTAGCTCAGCGCCTGGAGCCTGTTTCTGATTCTGTGTCTCCCTCTCTCTCTGACTCTCCCCTGCTCGCTCACTCTCTCTCAGAAATAAACATTAAAAAAACAAAAACAAACAAAAAAACAAACAGTATGGTAGTGACACAGGTATAACCATTATGTACCCAAAGAATAAAAGAGACTTTAGGAATGGACCCTTAAATATATGAAAAAACACAGTATATAGTAAAAGTGACATTCCAAATCATTAATAAAAAGATTATTTAATAAACTATCTGTAGGGGTGACTGGATGGCTCAGTCGGCTAAGCATCCACCTTGAGCTTAGGTCATGATCTCACAGTTCATGAGTTCAAGCCCTACATCGGGCTCTGTGCTGACAGCTCAGAGCCTGGAACCTGCTGCAGATTCTGTGTCTCTGCTCCCCCACTTGTACTCTGGTCTCCCTCTCTCTCAAAAATAAACAAACATTAAAAAATTAAAAAAAAATAAACAAACTGTCTTTAGATAGCTGATTAGCATGAAAGAACAGACCCCAACCTCATACCACACAAAACAATCTTCGATACTTCATGGATCGAAGAGTCAAATGTAAAAAAACCAAAATTATAAAAGTTGTAAAAGGGGAAATGGCAGAGTAAATGGCACAAGGAATCTGCATCCAACCACAACAAATGCACTGGGGAAATCCGTCTGACAGAACTATTTTAGAACTCTGGAGTCTGTTCAAGGCTCGCAGCCTCCAGGGGAAGACTGGAAGGTAAACTACAGTTAATCTCCCCTCAGTCTCAGTTCTTACTACAGTAGCAGCTACCCACCCCCCACTCCTAGCTGATCAGAGCAGCTTACACACATCTTGTAGGGCCAGGGTGGGCAAAAAGTCCTCCAGTTTTCTATGTTTCTCATCCCAAAGGAGCAAAGGGGTGAATAGACCTTGCACCTCCCACTCTGCTTCAGTCACTTGAGGGGATTTAAAAGTCGACATCCTTTCTCCTCTCCCCCCAATCCCTTCATTTTTTCATTCCCCCCCCCCCATTTTGGAACCAGACATGAAGACTAAGACATTCAAAAACCACTGCATACCCAGGAAAAAAACTTAAAAGTTGACTGCATATGCCCAGAAAAAGGCTCAGAAAATATCTGAAAAGACTTTAAGATTATACCTCATTCTTCCTTTCATGGTTTTACAAATGTAAACCAAACAATATAAACTCACTTACTCAGCCAGCTACCCAGCTAACCAGCTGGCATGTATAACGACACTCCCCAAGGTAATAGATTTGACCCTGAAAATACAAAGTAAATATGGTCAGGGCCGCTAAAGAATTAAAAATGTGGTGGAGAGACTATATAAGGGTTATTTACCATGCAGAAGCTCCATGCTGTAACAGGAAAATGAACTAAGGAGCTAGCAGGAATAAAGATGAGGTAATGGCTAAGTCAGGAAAAAGCTGGTGGAGATCTTATAAAGTTGACATTTGATATCCACATCTTAAAAGATAAAAAGAAAATGAGACTTTGGAGGGCAAGATTTGGGAAGAGGTAACAATATGAGTGCACAGGTTAGAAGGCACAAAAGTGGGTCATGTACAAAAAAATAGTCAGCTAAGACCACTTACTATCTATAGGACTTTGAGCAAAAAACTAAATCTATTTCAACTGAACAATAAGGATAATGGTATCTTCCTCAGAGGTGCTGTGAGGAAAAAGAGGTGGTGGGTTAAGAAGGATGTGAGCAAAGTCTGGCTGCTGCTCCTTCCACCTGCTGACTTCCAAGGCCGACTGTACTGTTCTACCTCAAAGTGGGGTCTCTACCTCTCACTGTTCCTGTAGAAGCTATGTACTCAGTAGAGGATGACAACACCCTCATTCATGTACAATGGCTAGAACAGTTCTTGATACACAGCATTTACCCAAAAAACAGGTAGGGTTTTTTTTTTCTTTTCTTTTCTTTTTTTTACCAGATGTTCAGAGTTCCCCTGAACTACTTTCTGACACTCCTGAGATCTGCCCTCCAATTCCTGCTACAGTCCTGAATCTCAGCTTAAGAACCAGTGGTATGTTTAATAAGGACCCCACCCAATCTGTACACATATTACTTCATACTTACAGGCTGAGGCTGTTCTGCAATACAGCAGTTGAAACATAACCAGAATTCACTCATGCTTATAGTCCACGGTATAAATGAGCACCAATGAAGTTTTCAAATCTTAGCTCGGGAAGCTTCACAAAGCACGCTCCTTGAGATGCCGAATGTCCAATGATGCCAAAAAAACAGTTTTATTACTTCTCTGTACTTTTGTTCCCAGAAGTCAAGTATCTTATATAGTTAATTTAATGAAGAGATTCAAACTTTCTTTCTTTGCTTCTTGCTCTACACAGACTTGTTTCTGAATCACCAGAAAGGTATAAAAATTCTTGTCTTGACTCAGGGGCTCTAACAGATAATCTAAAAAAAACAGAAAAGAGAAGAAAACAAGTTATTTTACTTATCATTAGATGCTTTTATTTTTTTCAATCTGTGATAAAAATATTTCCCTAAAATGTAAGCACTGGAAAAAAAGTTAAGATTTTAATAAACTGATATCCGACAAAAATTTTTAATGTTTATTTCTTTATTTTGAGCACATGAGCAAGGTAGGGGCAAAGAGAGAGGGAGAGAATCCCAAGCAGCACCCACACTGTCAATGTAGAGTCCCAATGGAGTTCGATCTCGCAAATTGCAAGATCATGACCTAAGGTGAGCTAAAAAGTAGGACACTTAACCAAATGAGCCACCCAGGCACACAACAAAAATATTTGAACACTTTTTTTGAGTGTTAGGTATTAAGAATATAGCAGTGAAATAAAACAGAGATCCTTGCTTTCATTAGGCAACCTGTTTTATAACTACAAAAGTATGAATTATTCTAATAAATTTATTTTTTAATCACTAACTACAACATTATGACTGCCATATAAAAGTCTCCAATTCCAAGAAGAAATACTGATTATTTTCATACAAGATTTCTTCACTTAAACCCTTTGTTTTCAAAAACAATCCAAAAATAACTGGTATAGCAATCAATTCTTCTTAAATAATCAGCAGCTGTTAATTCACCAATAACCATAAACAAAATTATCAGCTTCTTCACTGAAATTGTAATTAACCACGAAAGATGGATGGCATCTAATTTTGGCTTCATTTTGTGATTTATGACAATAGATCCCTGCCACCACCACCACCAGAATCAGTGTCAGCAAAAATAGTTTATGTCCCACTGGCAGTCAACCAAGCTTAGTCAATCAGAATCCACATCTGGCAATCTTAGGTAAGCTAAGAGTGAACCTATTTTTTCTACTTGCCTGCAAAGATGTTGACTTTAAGGCCTTAGCCAGCTAAATTCCAAAGTTCATGTAAATGACTGTTCTGAGATAATACTGCTGACAAGTAGACAAGAGAGAGGAGGAAGTTTAGAGGACATGAATCTCTGCTTCCAATCATCCCTAAGACCCGTGTGTCCTGTGTGCCTGAGCTCTGTTTTGTGAAGCAGTATTTCTCTTTCTCTAGCCTGAAGCTACACTGCAATGGATTTATATCACCTGCAGTCTAGTACAATTATCACATGAAGATGTCCAGGAGACCACCAGATATACAGCTCTGAAGCCAAGGAAAAATCCTGGAATTATCAGGAGATGAGAAATGAGGCAATGAACCCAAAATTCTAAAGAAAGCAGTATAAAAAACAATAAGAAAGAAAGCAAGCAGCATTATGAAAAGCAAAGAGAATCTAAGAGAGAACTGTAAGTAAGTAATAGGAGCATTTAACTGATGGGGAGAGAAAGAAAAGTCTACAAAGAATATGTGAGTGCTATCAGAAACAGAGAGGAGGATCCTGTTTCAAAGAGGACATAGGTAACAGAATTAACTGCCATGGAGATAGCAAAGACAGAAAACAGTCCATTAGAATGAGCAGTGCACAGCCTGCTTGGGATTCTCTCTCCCTCTCACGCTGCCCTTCCCGCGATGTCTCGCGTGTACATGCGTGTGCATGCCCTCTCAAAATAAACAAGTATTTAAAAAAAGACGACAAAAGAATGGGCAGCAGACACTTGGTGGCCCTGGTTACATATATTTCAGTAAAGTAGTGTAGGCAGAAATCAGTTTAGAGTGGGTTAAGAAGTGAAAGAAGGAGAAAGGAGAGAAGCAAAGGCAACACATGTTAGGAAAATTTTCCAGGAAGATTGAAGTTTTAGGGGCTCCTGGGTGTCTCAGCTGGATTAAAGCATCCAACTTTGGCTCAGGTCATGATCTCAAAGTTTGTAACTTTGAGAGCTCAGAGCCTGGAGCCTGCCAGCTCTCTCTGCCCCTTCCCTGCTTCCACTCTCTCTCTCAAAAATAAACAAACGTTAAAAAAAATTTCTTAAGACACAGTAGGGTGGTAGATACAATGAAGAAAAAAGCAATCCTGGAAATGAAAAGATCAAAGACCAAAGATGCATTAACAAGATTCCTCAAAGATCTGTTAATATCTGTGTCCCAAGCAGTCAAACAGGTATATTGTATGTTTATAAACTTCTGAAAAAGCTTTCATAAGTTTATAAGCTATGTAAAGTATACACCAGTAAAAAACAGCTACATTACAGGATCACAGACCCTGAACATTAAGTGAAATAACATTCCTCCTTTTCGCTGTCTCCAAAACCATGATTCGTAGAAACCTCGTATGACAGAAATGACAGTAATTTTTATATTCATATAGGTGAAGATCTTCAGTAAAGATAAATGCCGTCTTTTATGTCACAAATGTGGGACTCTGATGCTACAAAGTCCAGAAAGCAAGTCCCCTAACATATCTCAGAAAAATGACATGTTAAGATTTAAGCCTACATTCAAAAAGGAAGATCAGAAGGAAGAGAATTTACATTCTTGTCATAGTTAACAATTCAGAACAGGGAAGATTTATTTTCAAGCAAGGATCAACATTCCTCATCTCACCCAAACTTCCAAAACAAAGAAGTAGCAGTGTTGCAATTGATTCTGTCCACTGAACTGAGTAAATAGAATGAAGGTTTAAAAGCTCAGTAAAACAGTATGCTTCACTTACTTCCTTCTTAGAAAGAATATAACAGCAAAGACAATATAACACAATAACATGAACACTATTTGAGTGCTACATTTAAGAAGTTTAATTTCTCCCTGAATCAAAGACAAGAAGTCACTGTAAAGTAAGTAAATCACTGAGATGATACAAGCACAGCAGAGGGAATATAGTCAATAACACAGTAATAACTTTGTGTGATGACACATGGTAACCATACTTCTCATGACAAGAATTTCATAATGTATATAACTGCCCAATCTCTATGCTGTAAGCTAGAAGCTATGTCACCTATACTTAAATTACAAAATAAAAAATTAATGAAAAGAAAAAGTCTTTGTGAAGTCAACTATCTTTTAACCAGTTCTACGAACACAAAAATAAATCTGTTTAAAACTGAGAATTCTGTACGCTCATCATTGTTCCAACACAGACATGGAAAAACACCAAATCTATTAAAATCTGATGTTAATTTTTTTTGTTCCAAGTTTTTATTTAAATTCAAGTTAGTTAACATATAATACTGGTTTCAGAAGCAGAACATGGTGATTCATCACTTACATACAACCCAGTGTTCATCCCAACAGGGACCCTCCTTAATGCCCATCACTCATTTACCCCATCCCCTGCCCACTCCCCTCCAGCAACCATCACTTTGTTCTCTATAGTGAAGTCTCTTATGGTTTGCCTCCTTCCCTCTTTTTAACTTGTTTTATTTTTCCTTCCCTTCCCCAAGTTCATCTGTTTTGTTTCTTAAATTCTATGTATGAGTGAAATCATGTGGTATTTGTCTTGATCTGACTGACTTATTTCACTTAGCTTTATACACTCGAGCTCCATTCTGAAATCTCATGTTTAAAACTCTATTGTTTAATTTTCTTATCTATGTATAAAGCCAGGTAAGTTCCCTTCTTATCCAGAAATTATATTTTCCAGAAACTATCTTTAAATATTAATTCTGGATTGGGAGGTGTTATAGTGTCTTCTCTTTTTAATCAAGTGTTCTTTCTGTTTAATACTTAAAATGACTTCCTAATTTATAATCTGTAATACTTCATCACGCCACATTTTACCAAATTCAAAATTCCTTCCCATTTACAGTAAAGCTATTCATTAATTTGTGAATTTTAAAATATACAATTTCCCACTCACAGGTAGTACTTTGAAAATGACATTCACGAGACTTCTTCCTTCACGATTAGTTGAAGAATGATTTTTTTTTAAGTACAATAATTTATGCTTTGTTTTTGAAAAAGAAAGGACAAATAGCTGAAGTTATTTCTACCTAGATAATAAATCTGGTGAAATATACTTTCAAACCAAGAGGATAATTGCAACTGCACAAATGTGTATTTGTTAAGTAAATATATAAATCTAAAAATGGCTCAAACATGGCTTGGAACATCATGCCAAAACATTTTTCATCTTCTTGCTTTTCTTAACAAACTTCCTCTTTAGAATTATTTTTCCGAAGTGTGTAGACTTATAATACTTATATATACACATTGAGAGAAATACTAAATTTATCACAAAAAAATTTCACTAATAATATATATACTACAGTTACTTTCATTTCTTTAACTGCTAGTTGCTTAAAACCATTTCTAAAGCCTTATACTTTTTTTTTTAATCTTAACAAAAAGACTATTACTTTGCAACAACATCAACATCCACACTTGGCTTGAAACACAGCTTAGCACATGCTGGACACCTAAGGGGTCAGACTGGTCTATAATACTGGTGAGTATTTCACACACACAGAGATTCACAAAATATAAAATTTTACAAAAGCCTGAAGTGAATTATCTAACCATTTAGCAACTGGGCAGAGCTTTCCTGATTTAAAAGCTTAGTCTCTTGACTATTAATGAGCCTGGCATAAAAACGGTGGTAGTATTCTTCATCATCAGCTTCTTCTCCTCCTCACCTCTGCACTTAAACCAAAGGCTATAGGCATTTACTCTACACTTGTATAAAAACTTTTGCTATAACAATTTAAAGAACTTCCTACCCACAGAACTGTTTTCTAGATCAACTTCCAAAGAAACAATAATAAAGCCTTGTTTTAAGACACAGAGGAACACTGAGGTGGCTCAGTTGAATGTCCAACTTTGGCTCAAGGTCATGACCTTGCAGTTCACGAATTCGAGTTTGTGAACTCTCTCAAAAATAAACATTAATTTTTTTTTTTTAAAATTACAAAAAAGAAGAGATTATTAGAGATTAGCTAAAGATGTCCTCATTCTCCTGTTCTTTTTTTTTTTTTTTTTTTATGTTTATTTTTGAGAAAGAGGGCATGCTAGTAGGGGAGGTGCAGAGAGAGGGGGACACAGAATCCGAAGCAGGCTCCAGGCTCTGAGCTGTCAGC